TCACCTCGACGGCAGTCACGTGACCACCCTGGGGTGGCGTGGGGGTGGGCGGGGAGTGTGTGATGGGTGAGTGTGTGATGGGTGAGTGATGGGTGAGTGTGTGATGGGTGAGTGATGGGTGAGTGTGTGATGGGTGAGTGGTGGAGTGAGTGATGGGTGTGTGGTGTGATGGGTTGAGTGTGTGATGGGTTGTGAGTGTTTTGATGGGTGAGTGTGTATGGGTGAGTTGTGTGATGGGTGAGTGATGGGTGAGGTGTGAGGTGTGAAGTGTGTGATGGGTGATGTGCTGGCGTGATGCTGTGTGATGCGGATGCGTGATGGGTGTGACGCATGTGCTGATGGTGTGAGTGTGATGAGTGGGTGAGGTTTAGTGATGTGATGGTGAGGTGCATGCGTGAATGAGTGAGTGATGGGTGAGTGGAGTGATGAGTGCGTGAAGTGTGGGTTGCATATGTGTGGATGGGTGCGTGTGTGTGGTGTGAGTGAATGTGCCTGGTGTAGAGTGAGTGTATGGATTGTGAGTGTGTGATGGGTGAGTGAGTTGATGGGTGAGTAGTGAGTGATGGCGTGAGTGTGTGATCGGCTGAGGTGTGTGATGGTGTGCGTGAGTGATGGGTGAGTGAAGTGATGAGTGAGGTGAGTGATGGGTGATGTTTGTGAATTGGGTGAGGTTGTGATGGGTGAGTGAGTGATGGTGTGAGTGACTGATGGAGTGAGTGTATGTGATGGGCGTTGATGTGAGTGATGGGTGAGTGTGTTATGGGTGAGTGTGTGATGGGTGAGTGAGTGATGGGTGAGTGACTGATGGGTGAGTGTGTGATGGGTGAGTGAGTGATGGGTGAGTGAAGTGAGTGATGGGTGAGTGTGTGATGGGTGAGTGTGTGATGGGTGAGTGAGTGATGGGTGAGTGAGTGATGAGTGAGTGAGTGATGGGTGAGTGTGTGATGGGTGAGTGTGTGATGGGTGAGTGAGTGATGGGTGAGTGAGTGATGGGTGAGTGTGTGATGGGTGAGTGTGTGATGGGTGAGTGTGATGGGTGAGTGTGTGATGGGTGAGTGTGTGATGAGTGAGTGTGTGATGGGTGAGTGATGGGTGAGTGTGTGATGGGTGAGTGAGTGATGGGTGTGATGGGTGAGTGTGTGATGGGTGAGTGTGTGATGGGTGAGTAAGTGATAGGTGAGTGAGTGATGGGTTGCTGATCCCTGGGTTGAGTGATGGGGAAGTGAGTGATGGGTGAGTGAGTGATGGGTGAGTGTGTGATGGGACGATGCCCTATTGGTTGCTGACCCCTGGGCTGAGTGATGGGGAAGTGAGGGGTTGGTCGCGCGATCAGAGCGTGGGGAGCGGTGGGATCAGTGGTGCGGGCACTGTGCCTCAAACCCTGACACCCGAGTTCAGTTCCCGAACACGGCCAACCAACATCAGAACCGAACAATGGGGAGACAAAGGTGGCCGGGCGTGGTGCTGGCCACCCACCCCCTCGTGTGCCGTGCCGGCCTTCAAAGATCCTCGCTAACAGCACTTGCCCCAACAGTCTGCTAAGGCTATTGGGGGGATCTTTGTCTTTGTAATGGGGTGTAATGATGTAATGTGTGTGTGATGGTGTGTGATGGTATGTGATGGTGGGTATGTGATGATGTGTGATAGTGGGTGTGTGAGTGGTATGTGATGGTGTGTGATGGTGTGTGGTGGTGTGTGATGGTGTGATGGTGTGTGATGGTGTGTGAGTGGTTTGTGATGGTGTGTGACACTGTGTGGTGGTGTGTGATGGTGTGTGAGTGGTGTGATGGTGTGTGATGGTGTGTGGTGTGTGAGTTTGTGTGAGTGGTGTGTGAGTGGTGTGTGAGTGGTGTGTGATGGTGTGTGATGGTGTGTGATGGTGTGTGGTGGTGTGTGATGGTGTGATGGTGTGTGATGGTGTGTGATGGTGTGTGATGGTGTGATGGTGTGTGATAGTGTGTGAGTGGTTTGTGATGGTGTGTGACACTGTGTGGTGGTGTGTGATGGTGTGTGAGTGGTGTGATGGGGTGTGATGGTGTGTGGTGTGTGAGTTTGTGTGAGTGGTGTGTGAGTGGTGTGTGAGTGGTGTGTGATGGTGTGTGATGGTGTGTGGTGGTGTGTGGTGTGTGAGTGGTGTGTTAGTTTGTGTGAGTGGTGTGTGATGGTGTGTGGTGGTGTGTGGTGGTGTGTGATGGTGAGTGAGTGGTGTGTGATGGTGTGTGACACTGTGTGGTGGTGTGTGGTGGTGGGTTATGGTCGGTGTGTGGTGGGTGATGGTGTGTGAGTGGTGTGTGATGGTGTGTGATGGTGGGTGATGATGTGTGGTGGGTATGATCGTGTGTGATGGTGGTGTGTGATGGTGATGGTGTGATGGTGTGATGGTGTATGATGGTGTGTGATGGTGTGTGATGGTGATGGTGTGTGATGGTGGGTGATGGTGTGTGATGGTGATGGTGTGTGATGGTGTGTGATGGTGTGTGATGGTGATGGTGTGTGATGGTGTGTGATGGTGGGTGATGGTGTGTGATGGTGATGGTGTGTGATGGTGTGTGATGGTGATGGTGTGGGATGGTGTGTGATGGTGGTGGGTAATGGTGTGTGAGTGGTGTGTGATGGTGTGTGGTGGTGTGTGATCGTGTGTGATGGTGTGTGGTGTGTGATGGTGTGTGATGGTGTGATGGTGTATTATGGTGTGTGATGGTGATGGTGTGTGATGGTGGGTGATGGTGTGTGATGGTGTGTGATGGTGATGGTGTGGGATGGTGTGTGATGGTGGTGGGTAATGGTGTGTGAGTGGTGTGTGATGGTGTGTGATGGTGTGTGGTGGTGCGTGATCGTGTGTGATGGTGGTGTGTGATGGTGTGTGATGGTGTGTAATGATGGTGTGTGTGTTGATGGTGGTGGGGCCGTGTAATGCAGTGCAATGTGATGGGGGTGTGATGGCAGTGGGTCCGTGCTGCGATGATGGCGCTGGGGAATGATGGTGCAGTGATGTGGCTGTGCTGGGCAGTGCGAGGGAGGGAGGGAGGAGGCGTGGGGGAGGGGTGATGGGGGAGGAGGGAGGGAGGGGTGATGGAGGGGTGATGGGGAGGGAGGAGGGAGGGGTGATGGGGGGAGGGAGGAGGGAGAGAGGGATGTGAATATAAATCAGAGGAGAAATCTGCGCGGCTGTCACGTCGGGAGTCTCCGCTCGCAGCGAGACTGAGCCGCGGGGAGGAAGAGGTGAGGCCGACGCTTGACGAGAGGCAGACACAAAGAGACGGACTCACGGACAGAGACAGAGACACGTACACACACCTACACACACACACCTACACACACACACCTACACATACACACCTACACACACACACCTACACACACACACACACGCGCGCATACAGAGTCAGGGAGACCCATAGAGACACGCTCAGGCATCGCACGCGCACAAAGGCACGCGCAGAGACACACGCAGAGACTCAAGCACACAGAGAATCACACACACAGATAGAGACCCGCACACAGAGACGCACACAGAATCAGACAGACCCTCAACATACACGCCGGCATGCACATAGAGACACACAGAGAAACACACACAGACACGCACACACACAGAGAATCATACACAGACACGCACACACAGAGAGACATACACAGACACACACACACAGAGACGTGTGTGTGTTTCTGTCTCTGTGTGTTTGTGTATGGGTGTGTCTGGGTGTGTATGTGTGTGTGTCTCTGTGTGTGTTTGTGTCTGTGTGTGTTTCTGTCTCTGTGTGTTTGTGTATGGGTGTGTCTGTGTATGGGTGTGTCTGTGTGTGTTTGTGTCTATGTGTGTGTGTCTGTGTGTGTTTGTGTGTGTTTGTGTCTGTGTGTGTGTTTGTGTGTATCTGTGTGTGTATCTGTGCGTGGTGTTTGCCGTGCCTGAGCCGGACACAGAGAGACACTCAGTCAGAAACACAAAGGCAGCCCCAGACGCAAATGCCCGCCTGGCCACCTGGCACTCACTTAAGTCTGAGTGGACCTAGAGGCGCATCGCGACAGGTCCTAGACTCATCTTGGCCACCGCTGCTGCCCGGAGTCGCTCCCCCAGGCGGGGCGGATTCGTGGCGCAGTGCGCGCGACGCCCCCCCCCCCCCACCAGAGATGCACGCACAGAGGCAAAGATCCCCCGTGTAGCCTGTCATGGGCTACTGGGGCAAGTGCTGTGAGCGGGTAGCACCTATGAAGCACACGAGGGGGTGGGTGGCCGGCACCACGCCCAAGCGCCTTTGTCTCCCCAGTGGCGATGATTTTACACGCCGCACCAGGGACTCATTTGAGGCTGAGTCCACCTAGGGACCCAGGATCGGTTCAGACAATCGTCACGGCTGTTGGTGGCCGTGAGCGGGGATCAAAACCGGGGGTGGTGGGGTTCGTAGCGCAGCGTAGCGCTGACCACTACACCACCGCTCCTCACACACACACATACAGACACACACAGACACACAGACACACACACACAGACACACATACAGACACACACACACAGACACACACACAGACACACAGACAGACACACACACAGACACACACAGACACAAAGACACACACAGACACACACACAGACACACACAGACACACACACGCTAAGGGAGTATTTCGCTAATGCCGCCAGCCTCTGCACCAGACCTCCTTTGTCTGCACATTGTGAATGTTGACGCAGCGCACTGGGTACTCGTTTAAGGCTGAGTCGACCTAGGGAAGGCCCAGAGACCGGTTCGCACATCACTCGCCACTAGCCGGGAATCGAACTCTGGACCTGGGGTTCGTAGCGCAATGCGCCACATTTCAGACACACGGACAGAGAGATACACAAACACACAGAGATACACAAACACTGTCACTCAAAGACACACGGACAAAGAGACACAGATACACGAATAATGATAGACACAACAACAACCGCCATTCGCTACTAAGTGGCAGTGACATCACCATGGCGCTTGTACCAGGTCTGTGCCTACTTTAAGGCCAAGTGAGGTGTGGAACGCCCGCTGGCAGGAGGTCACGGGGCAGACCCAGCAGGTGCCACGGGTCGACTGACTGAGATGACCGAGATGACTGGCTGATGCACCACCTGTGCCCCCTACTGTGCCAACTTGCTGTGCTTTAGCCACCCGGCGCTCCGCTCGTTGTTGTGAGCGTCGCTCCTCCGCCCTCTGTTGTTGCTGGAGGGCGACTGCCTCCAACTGCCCAGTAGCGTCCTTCACGAGCCTCCTCCACAGAGGCCGATCTCGACACCGCTGGTACCAGTCATCGGCAAGTCCACTCAGCTCCACGTCCTCCTGTACCACATCACTCCATCTCTTCTCTAGCCCGTGCCGTGCCCGTGTAGCCCCCTCGATCCGGCCGAACAAAAGCTGTTTAGGCATGCGGTGATTGGGAATGCGGGCTACGTGGCCCAGCCAACGCAGCCTTGCCTGCCGGAGGAGCTCACCGATGGGACTTTGCCCAGATCTTTCAAGGATTTGTGAGCTCCTCACACAATCCAGTCTGGTTAAACCCAGGATGGATCGTAGGCAGGCCAGCCTAAATGTTTCTAACTGGCGAAGATGCTCAATTAGGGGGGTCCATGTTTCGCAAGTGTAGAGAAGGGAGGGAATGACTGGCCGAGAAGACCTGAAGCTTCGTGTGGAGCGACAGACCAGGTAGCTTCCACACAGCGTTACGCAACCGATGAAAAGATATTGCCGCTCGACTGATTCGCAGTGAGATCGCTGCTGTTAAACTGGAGCCGGTCATGAGCACACTGCCCAGGTATGGGAAACTCTCCACTCTCTCCACTACTGCCCCATCACCGATTGAGAGTTGTGGGGGTGGAGTGTCCGATGGTACAAAATACCCAGGCAGGTGCTTAGTTTTGGTCGGGCTAATGGTTCACACAAAGATAAAAAGATCCCCCGTATAGCCTTAACAGACTGTAGGGGCAAGTGCTGTTAGCGAGCACCTATGAAGCCCGGAACGGTACACGAGGGGGTGGGTGACCAGCACCACGCCCGACCGCCTTTGTCTCCCCAGTGGCGATGTTTACACACACCAGGTACTCGTTTTAGGCTGAGTCGACCTAGGGGAGGCCCAGGACCGGTTCAGATAATCGTCACTGGTGTTGGCCGTGAGCGGGAATCGAACCCGGGTCGCTAGGTTCATAGCGCAGCGCGCTAACCACTACACTATCGCTACACACACACAGAAACACAAACACTGCTACTCAGAACACACAGAGAGACACAAGACACGAGGACGAGGAGAGGGCAGAGGAGAGATGGACTCGAAAGACAAAATCCACCTCTGCCTTTTCCCTGCATAAGCCATGGCAAGGGTTAGCGAGCACCTATTATAATCAGTATTATTACGACGACTACTACCGTCGTGAACTACAGCGGGCAGGTGGCACGAAGCTCTGCCGTGTTGGTGCCCAGCACGAGAAGATTGACCCGGGTCCGTGGGGGGATTGTGGGGGGGGGGGGGGTCAGTAGGGGGGGGTCAGTGAGGGGTCAGTGGGGGGGGTTAGTGGGTCAGTGGGGGGTGGTGGTGGGGGGGTCAGTGGGGGGGTTGGGAGGGGTGGGTGGGGGTCATTGGGAGGGGTCAGTGGGGGGTGGTGGTGGGGGGGGGTCAGTGGGGGGGGTCAGTGGGGGGCAGTGGGGGGTTTGGGAGGGGTGGGGGGGGTCAGTGGGAGGGGTCAGTGGGGGGGGGGGTGGTGGGGGGGGTCAGTGGGGGGGGTGGTGGGGGGGGTCAGTGGGGGGGGGGTCAGTGGGAGGGGTCAGTGGGGGGGAGGTGGTGGGGGGGGTCAGTGGGGGGGGTCAGTGGGGGGGGGGTCAGTGGGGGGGGTCAGTGGTGGTGGGGGGTGTCAGTGGGGGGGGGGGTCAGTGAAGGTCAGTGGGGGGGTTGGGAGGGGTGGGGGGTCAGTGGGGGGATGGAGGGGGAATCAGTGGGGGGTCAGTGGGGGGTCAGTGGGGGTCAGTGGGACGGGGGTGGTCAGTGGAGGGGAGTGGGGTACCCATTTGAGTCCACGCACAGAGAAACACAACCGCGGTTGCCCACCAAGCGGCAGCAATATCTCCCTGGTGTTGTGCCAGGCTAGGTGCACTTTGATTCCGCGTTAATTGTTAAGAGAGCTCGTCACAACACTGTGGCCCCTACCAGGCAAAACGTAAAAATGTAATAGACGACGTTTCGGGCAGTGGCTCTCTATTCATAGCCAAGGCTCGCTGCTGGTTAAAGGTCACAGGCGAGGCCCAGGTGCTATGGGTTGACTGACGTGACAGCAGACAGATGCACCACGGGCTGCTCCCCGTGGTGCCGCACCGCTGCGGTTTTAGCCACCCAGCACCCCGCTCGTCGTGGGGGGGGGGGGCAGCAGGTCCAGCAGCCTGGACGTGGAGGCCCCACTGGAGCTGCTCTTCATGTCCACCCCCTTCCTGGGACTTGTCGTGGGAAGTGCTGCCAGCGAGCACCCCCAATCAACGCGAGGCACGGCACTCAAGGGGGGGGGCAGTGGTAGTGAGAGCGGTGGTGCAGCGGTTAGCTCTACGTTGCGAACCCCTGCGAGCCGAGTTATATTGCCGCTCACGGCCTATACCAACACCGGTGACGATTGTTTGAACCGGTCCTGGGCCTCCCCTAGGTCGACTCAGCCTCAAATGAGTAACCTGGTGCGGTGTGTAAGCATCGCTACTAGGGAGACAAAGGCAGTCGGGCGTGGTGCTGGTCACCCACCCCCTCGTGTACCGTTCCGGTCCTTCATAGGTGCTCGTTTACAGCACTGGCCCCTAGAGTCTGCTAAGGCTACCCGGGGGATCTTTGTCTTTAGTGAAGGTTGAGTCATCCTCAGGGAGGGCCAGCACCGAATCAGATATCACTCGGCGCCGGTGTTGACCTGGGCCAGTCGTGGAGCTAGGTTCGTCTGTGGTGCAGAACCCGTCAGGGTCAGCACACAGAAGCGCACTGACACAGCACACAAAGACAAAGATCCCCCGTGTAGCCTTTAACAGACTGTTGGGGAAAGTGCTGTTGGCGAGCACCTATGAAGGACGGAATAGCACACGAGAGGGTGGTGTGGCCAAAACCACGCCCGCCCGCCTTTGTCTCCCCGATGCTGACGTTTACATAAAGCATCAGATACTCGTTTAAAGGCTGAGTCGACCTAGCAGAGGCGCCGGACCGGTGCAGACATTCGCCACTGATATCGATCCGTGAGCGGGAATCAAACTGGGGCTTGCTACCCCCTGTGCCAGCACTCCCCACTCACGCCACAGCCACGCGGACACGTCCCGCTCCACCTCGCACAGCAGGCGACCCCGACAGAGACTCCACGAGGACCCCCCCCTGCCCCCGTGCCGCCACCTGAAACTTCTCCCATCCCCTACCCAGGCCGAGGAGGACGCAGAGGGTCGGGAGATCCATGGCAGACACCGGCGTGGACACCGAGTCCACGGCCGGCGGCGGCGGAGGAGGAGCTCCTGGAGGTGCCGGGGGCAGCGCCGGACCGGTGCTGAACCTGGCGGACGAGGCCGTGCTGCAGAAGCACGTGCGCCGCCTGGTGCCCCTGCTGCTGGAGGATGGAGGCGAGGCCACCGCGGGCCTGGAGGCCTCCCTCTCGGAGCGCCACTGCCTGGAGCAGCTGCGGAAGTTCATCAGCGAGCCGCAGGCGCGGGCCCTCCTTGTGGAGCGCACTGCGCCCAAAGGTGACGACCCCCCCCCCTCCCCCCTCTTACACCTCGTGCTCCTCCTGCGCACCTCCGATCAATGACATTATCGATCATCGTTGACTCGCTCATCCATGCGAGCCACCGCACGGAGTCGAAGTCGGACGCTTTTTGAGAAGGGTCCCGCTGCTCCGTTGAGGGTTTTTATTCTGAGATGTTTTGAGTCGATCCATGAGTCGTTTATAAAGCGCCCGTGGAAACCGGAGCATGCGGAGAAAACCCCACACCTCGCGCGAGAGGGCAACGCTCTATCCCAGCACAGAGGGAAACAGGTGACGATTAGTCTACTTGCTGTACTGCCTTCTCCTGGCGAGCCAGGGTATACGGTAACCATAAAAAATTTAAATAAAAAATAAAATAATCATAATCATAAATGAAAATAAATCAATTAAATCACGTTTCGGAGGCAACACAAGCTTCCTTCATCAGGTGTAAAAAGGCACAGCAAAATAACTGTAGTGGGAGTTATTTGTGATGGGGCATTAATATATAGAGTAAAGAGGAGGGGGGGGGGAGCCAAGGGGGACGGGTGCAGGATGGGGGTGGGGCCAGGAAGGTGAAGTGGTAATAAAGGGCGGCGCAACGGATGGTGGAGGGAGGACGAGGTGCAGGGTGGGGGGGGGGGCACCTCGTCCTCCGTGGATGGTCTTCATATATCGAGGATCGCAGAGCTTGGGGGAGTGGGGTGTGGGCTTTGTCTCAGGCTCGCCATCTGGCTGCTGCTGCTGCTGCCGCCTTCCCGCTCAGCGTCTGTGGTTCAGCCTGGCGCCTCTGGCATGGTATGTACGTACCGTGCGTTGAACTTCTTTCGCGCCGTACGTAGCCAACCGTGCTAATCGGAGGTGCGGGGGAGGAGTGAGTTCAGTACTGTTAGAGGGAGACGTCATTCTAGGATGTATTCGACTGTAAGAGCGGGTAACGTGGAGCACAGCTCAGGGTGGTGGTGATGACGAGACTATTAGGAACGCACCTCGCAGCTGTGTCTGAGCAGAAGGAAGAGACGGCGGCAGTGGCTGTCACAGAAATCGTTGGCCACGATGAGGTTGGAGGTGGGTCGCTCAGCCTCGCATGAACCGCGGACGGCCAAAACACTTTGGCGTGGCCGTGTCCGGGAATGGTTATTGACCCCGGGTTAATCAATAGTGCTGCTCATCAGCGTTGTGTGTGTAGTGGGTCAATAACTAGAGGAGAGTCTCTCTGAGGCAACACATATTTTTATTAACAAATAATCCCTAACACAGAGGGGCAACAGCCCCTTACACCCACACGCCTCTCGCTGGCTATTCTAGCTCTTCTTGAGTGAAGCTTAGCCTCCACTGGTATACGAACCGGAGCCGACCCTTGCCAGGGGTACGGCTCTGCCCGTGGGCTCTTCTCTTCAGGAGGTTCTTGGTCTTCGTGCGGACGACGACTGCCTCGACCGTCCAGAGGGGCCCGCCTTTTATACAAGTCCCTGGCTCGCTCTGCCCCAGCCACGGCCCTTCCTTCCAGCACCTTCCACCAGGGCCTGGGAGGGTGACGTCATCCCCCAGCCCCCCCCCTCCCAGGTCTGGGGTTATCCCATAGGGCAGGGGCGGGGAACCTTTACCTGCCAAGGGCCATTTGGAAATTTACAACATCATTCGCGGGCCATACTAAATTATCAACTTAAAAATTAGCCTGTTGTTATATTTGGTCAAACATTTCATTAACTCACCCCTAATGTGATGGCTGTACCTGCTTCTCTTTGGCGAGGCGTGTGATGTTAGTTGGTATTGATGATGTTGCTACTCGCAACTGCTTTTCCAGGTTTGTTCCAAGATTTATTTAATTTCGAGTCCCGCCTGCGGTTGCCTTGGCAGGGCCAGAGACCAAATGATTCCCCACCCGGTGCCATCGGGGTTACCGTAGACCCCGTGGACCATCGTCCCTTGACACTGGGCTCAGGCACACTACCGCCCCCTATGGACACGTGTGGGATACTTCCGGCTGGCAGCATGGGGAGTGCACCACAACAACACCAATACTAGTACCTCTGCATGTGCACGTGTTCCCGACTGTGTGTCGGAGTTAGGCCTCGGCAAGGCAAGGCAATTTACCATTTTTACCGGGTAAAAGGGTAAAGGTGTCGACATGCCAAGGGGTAAGGTAAAGGGGAGGGTACAGGTAGCGTGAAGTATTAACCGGTAAATACGGTGCCTTGTTTACCGCTAAAAGCTCCGTGGCGCAGTCCATGGCCCCCATTTAATAAGTAATATTTAAAAAAACTCTTTTTAAAAACACGCTTTTATTAAATGTACCGTGCTAGTAATGACAGAACTCCACAACTCTAGGAAGTGGCCCGAGGCTTGCCACAACGTAAGGGGCCGTGGTGATTTACAGCCAATGTCAGTGTACCGTGGACAATTAGACCCAAGCCGAAACATAACATATAAAACATGTTAAAAAATATGATAGAATATGGTGTTGTCATCAGTATGACATAAGTATACCAAGTTTGCAGTCGATACCACATTGGGAAGTGTGGTAAAATTGAGTTACAAGATTTGAGGATACAACAACAATGACAACAACAACAACGACAACAACAACAGACAGAGTGAGTTCAAAGAAAGCGTGTAAAATTGGAATAATCGAGAGTATTCTATATGTATAAAGCGCTCTACCTATAGAATTTACCGTTATAAACCTTGTTCATGTGTAGTAGTTCCCTAGTAATTATCCTGTAATCGGTAATTTGTAGGCTCGTTGCTTTCTACCTTTTACCTTACCTGCTAAAGGGTAAAAGGTAGGGTAGAGTGATTGTATTGTGGTAAGGGTAAAAGGTAGGGTAAAGGTAGGCTCGTTGTTTCTACCTTTTACCTTACCGAGGCCACGTGGGGAGCGCCACGTGGCCACTGAGTTCGATTCCCGCTCGCTGCCCAACAGCCGGTGACGATGATCATCGTTCAGATGATTATCTGAAGCGGTCCTGGGACCTCCCCTAGGTCGACTCAGCCAAAAATAAGAACCTGGTGTAGCGGTGTGCAGTTAAAACATCGCCACTGGGGAGACAAAGGCGGCCGGGCGTGGTTGCCGGCCTTCACATGTGCTGCTCGCTAACAGCACTTGCCCCTACAGTCTGTTACAGGCTACACGGGGAGGTGGGATCTTTGTCTTTGTATGAGAGTATAAGAGGAGCGGTGGCACGCTGCTGATGAATATCTGTGCCGGTTATGGGCCTCCCCTAGGTTGACCCAGCCTTAAATGGTGCGATGTAAAACTGGGGAGACAAAGGCGGCCGGGCGTAGCGCTAAACCAACAAAACCACCCTCTTGGTGTGCCGCTGGGGACTTCGCCGATGCCGGCCAAGAGCAACTTGTCCCCCGAGACTCCACGAGGCTCACCGGGGGATCTTTGTCTTTATCTTTGTAAAGTGTGGAACTTGGGGGGGGCAGCGCCGCCAACCCTGGCGAGCCTCGGTTCGACTCCCAGCCGGGGAGTGACGGCAGCCGGAGCACGCTGTGTGTGTACTGTGTATGTGTGTACTGTGTGTGTGTAGTGTGTGTGTACACTGTGTGTGTGTGTACTGTGTGTGTGTGTACTGTGTATGTACACTGTGTGTGTGTACTGTGTGTGTGTGTACTGTGTATGTACACTGTGTGTGTGTGTGTACTGTGTGTGTGTGTGTAGTGTGTGTGTACCGTGTGTGTACACTGTGTGTGTACACTGTGTGTGTACACTGTGTGTACTGTGTGTGTATACTGTGTGTGTGTACTGTGTGTGTGTGTACTGTGTGTGTGTAGTGTGTGTGTAGTGTGTGTGTACTGTGTGTGTACTGTGTGTGTATACTGTGTGTGTGTACTGTGTGTGTGTGTACTGTGTGTGTACACTGTGTGTGTGTGCTGTGTGTGTGTACTGTGTATGTACTGTGTGTGTACTGTGTGTGTACTGTGTGTGTGTACACTGTGTGTGTGTACTGTGTATGTACACTGTGTGTGTACTGTGTGTGTGTACTGTGTGTGTACACTGTGTGTGTGTACTGTGTGTGTGTACACTGTGTGTGTGTAGTGTGTGTGTACCGTGTGTGTGTACTGTGTGTGTACACTGTTTGTGTGTACACTGTGTGTGCACTGTGTGTGTGTACACTGTGTGTGTGTACACTGTGTAGTGTACTGTGTGTGTACACTGTGTACTGTGTGTGTGTACACTGTGTGTGTGTACACTGTGTGTACACTGTGTGTGTAGTGTACACTGTGTGTGTGTGTGTGTACACTGTGTAGTGTACTGTGTGTGTACACTGTGTGTGTACTGTGTGTGTAGTGTACACTGTGTGTGTGTACTGTGTGTACACTGTGTGTGTGTGTACACTGTGTGTGTACACTGTGTGTACACTGTGTGTGTGTACACTGTGTGTACACTGTGTGTGTGTGTGTACACTGTGTGTGTACTGTGTGTGTACTGTATGTGTACACTGTGTGTGCGTGTGTACACTGTGTGTGTACACTGTGTGTGTGCGTGTGTACACTGTGTGTGCACTGTGTGTACACTGTGTGTGTACACTGTGTGTGTGCGTGTGTACACTGTGTGTGTGCGTGTGTACACTGTGTGTGTGTGTACACTGTGTGTGTGCGTGTGTGCACGGTGTGTGCACTGTGTGTGTACACTGTGTGTGCACTGTGTGTGTGTGTACACTGTGTGTGTGTAAACTGTGTGTGTGTACACTGTGTGTGCACTGTGTGTGTGTACACTGTGTGTGTGCACTGTGTGTGTACACTGTGTGTGTGTACACTGTGTGTGTGTGTGCACTGTGTGTGTGTGTGCACTGTGTGTGTGCACTGTGTGTGTGTGTGTGCACTGTGTGTGTACACTATGTGTGTGTACACTGTGTGTGTGTGCACTGTGTGTGTGTGTGTACTGTGTGTGTGTGTGTACACTGTGTGTGTACACTGCAACATGTCCGAACGGTGTGTTGGGGCTTGGTGTTTGTGTGGTGTGTGTGAGTGTGTGTGTGTGGTGTG